CCCGACATCCACCGTCCTTGCCCTCTAGGACGAAAAAACTTCACCCACATCCAAACCATATAAAAGGTTCGGCATTGATTGTGGATCCACACCATCATACTACGTTCGCCCGAACGTGTTCTTTCTATCTAGCGATGTATGCTATCGCTTTTTCTTCGTATTAGTAAAGCACTACAGCAAAAGGTTACTATTATCACCGTTTCTCTTTGGTCTTTGTGTCATCTCCGCCTAATAACCATGCTATTATTCATGTTTTTTGCACCAACTTCCTTGTTTTCGTTATAACCTTATGGCTGCATTAACATCATTACATATGTAGGAGCTTAATTACCCAAGTTCGAGGTACGAGGTGCTGAAGAATCAACGAATCGGGTGGCAAGTGGGCTAGGAGACTTTAGGAAACTGCCGCGTGGACCTACACCACTAGCAATGCCAAAAATGAGGTCATTTGTGTTCTAGATGTAAGGCGGACTGCCGTCACTGATATTAAACCGACTGTCACTTAACCGGTGTATGAATAATCAATATAACTCTGCATTGTCCATCATAGACGAAAAGACGAACGACTGTGGACCATCGACTCGGATCATCGGCTCTGAAGGCGTCCAGACGTCAGCCGAATAAAACTTCTGTAAAGATTTCGTCTAAGCTGAACAATCCCAGGAGTTATGTCGCCACCCTATGCTGACGTCACGCAGCGAGAAACGCGCTTAACGGATAGCGGGGAGACGGTACTACCTCACTAGAAGCTCAGCTCTTCTTCTGGAGTAATCGATATGAGAGACTGATTCCTCCTTAGAATCAGCACCAATCGATCGTCAACGTCATCTTTCGTATCCAGTGGGCACTGGCAATATCATGTATCGACGCGTCAAACGTGTAGGTGGAGGTGGTCAACTTGGACTCGTCAGATCACCGTGCCGATCACATGACGAATGTGTCACATCTGCGCGTCGCCGGCCCCGAGGCGGTCGTCGTACGTCTCCGTCATGGATATCCCTATCTGGAGTAATGTTGATTCTTGTGTAACTAGTTCAAATCCTTTATCACTTTCCTGGTCATCTAGTTTACCTCTTTCATCTTTTTAATTGTTACCCCATCGTTCTTGACATCCATGTTCATTCCCGTTGTCCTTTTTCTTGGTAGACGAGTTTTGGTGTTCTTGCGAGCTCCTCCTTCACCGTTAGGATTCTGATCTAGAAATCGATATCTGCCCGGATACAACGAACAGATTCTATGACATTCACTCGTTTTTTTTACCTTACAAAAGTTGATATTGTACCAGTTCACCCACATGATCACACTGTTCTCCAGTCGGATGCTGTTCTATTTCATCCTTGTTTTTCGTATACATATACACACATATACGTATGTATATACATATACATGTGTATATACATGTGTATACATGCATGCACGTTGTATCGTATATATACGTACATATGTGCGTATATTTTCAAGGAGCCCCTTTTGATCTGAATATCATTTTCCAGTGCACGAAGAGATAGATTTCTCAACGATGTCCTGGCAAACATCATCGAAACGCTCGAAACGATCAACAATTGGTGAGCTATCGATTCTTTAGAGACGAGTTATTTTTAAGGACCTTTTTCCCGATATCAAGGTACCTGGACCAATAGCAGTCTATTCATTCTTGTAGTTTTGTATCGCCAGAAGTAACTCGAACAAACAAACTGAGGGCGGAAGTCCTTCTTTAATACGATTTCTAAATTTCTTTAGATACAGTATTTATTGAGTGCAACACATCTTCAACCTTACGAGCAAAACTTCTCAACAACAACACGGAGCTGAACGATTGTGACATCAGTGAGCGTTTTTCGACATGTTCTTAAACCCGACCATCCTTAGTTCAAATGCCAGAGGCCTTATTACACGACTTTATCCTTAGGGCGATGAAGCAACGCAAAACAATCGCCGTCTTTTGTTAGCGTAGTTAAGGGAAGTCCTTGCTTTAACGTTCTTATTGCCCATTAAGTCTCTCTTGTGGATTCACTTTGTGCTCTAGGGAACAGCAGATATTGTTCATTTCCATCGTTCTCCTAAGACGAGACTTAGAGATCCACGCAGAATTCACACTATTCTAGAACGCAAAACAACAAACACGACATCTGCGTCAATCGCCCGTCGTTTGCGCGAGCTTTGTGACAGTTTTGAGAGGCAAGAATTCGGTTTCAGTACTGCTCATGGTATTAGTCTTGGGAAACGCCGTACTGTTGGATAGGTTGTTACTTTTGTTTTAATAGTATTTCGTATTGTGCCTCGCATTTTTATGAGATGCCAAGCAGTCTTTTCTTTGTTTTAGAGATGTTTCCTATGGTCTTTTCTTATATTTCTTAAATAACCATAAAGTTTATTTATTCCATAACAAATTTCATTGGATAATATTTTAGCTCGTGGGTTCTGCCGAACGTCCGTAAGTGTTGTCGAGAGTCCAGCATATAATTTTCGTATCAGCTGAGAGCCCATCATTTTCCGCACTTCACATTTCGTCTCGTTAAAAAATTATTAATTACAAGGTCTTAATTTCTATACCCAGTATTCGTCGTACCAAGACTGGTATCCTATCAGATGACATATCTGTATATTCCTTATGCTCACAGATTGTACAGCGAGACGGAGTGTCTCAGTTTTATTATATGTAATGAAAAGTACTCTATTCATTTAAACCTATTAATTATTTGGTGAAAACGCGTAGCATAGTGGTATCAGTTGCCTGTTGGTACAAGTTATGTTGATGGTTCAGAACCTCTACGTTCGCATAGTTGTTTATCTATTTGAGTTTTACTAGAGTTGAATTCGTTGAGTTTCGTTGTATGTTTACGCATGGAATGCATTTCTCCGTCAGAGTAAAACCCTTTCGCGACCATCCACGCTTTTCTCATAACCTTTTTTTTTTTAATAATTGAAGAGTTTTAGAGATTGTGAACATGGCAGGGTTGTGGAAGGAACTTCCATGAACCGTTCGAATGAGGATTTATTGTTCATTTTTAAGTGCACAGTAGAGCTTTTCTCTAACAGAGCTCTAAACAAGGTTCCTTTTCGTTGAGTTTGCCAAGAAGGTTGGCTCTGTGAGGCAAAAGAAATGGGCAAAAAGCATGCTAATTGGCAATCCGCACGTACAGAGTCTGTAATCGGCTTGTGTACGTTTTGAAATCAATACGTGCACGGTCGCAAAAGGGTATGTTATGTACACAGGTAGTCGTAGAAGTAGTTCAACCTGTATGGTTTTTTCAAGCGCTAAGTCAGTTATGTCGCATTTTACTGGGCACGTCTGATGATCTATGATGTCAGATGTCGGCGAAGTATTCGACATTCAGTCTTTTACTTCCTGGTTTTACTCTTGTCAGACGTTCGACTATTCGAAGCGTTAGTTTTATGTTGTTCATGGTTTTATCATCTGTCACCTTGTTTCTGCTTTTGAACGTTCTGTGCCTTTAGCCTTTCTACAAGGTGCGTTTTAACTCTTCAGTGGATTCGTTCCTTGTAAAATCCATTCTTTTTCCTTCTTGTGAATGTCAAATAATCCGTTTTATCATTGCGTTCTGTGCGCACCTTTATACCTAGGTTGTTGTCCACTGAATAAAGAATTTGCCAGGAAATTTGGTATGTTTGCTTGGTTTGGCTCTGATCTTCGTTCATCGCAACTCTACGATGTTGATGATATCCCTGAAAGTAATCAAATCCGCCTCTTAACTTATAGTTTGATGAACTTTGTAGCTAGATATGTGAAAGTTTTAGCATTATAATGTGGTTTCGACACAAGTTTGAAAGTGGTTGCACCTAGTTTGACGGATCTACAGATGGGACATTGGGACATGTTCCGGCTTTACCTATGCAGTAAACGAGGATGTAGTATGAAACCGAAGAGGTATGTTTGACAGCAGTAATCTATAGAAACTACCGGCGCAGTGGTCGTGGGTGCCCTCCAAGTCCTTCATCCCTTCGGGATCAGCAAAATGGTACCAGACTTGTTTGACCGGATACAGTAGTGGCCCGATACGCCGGTAAGCTACCTGCCACCGCGAGCAACTATGAAAACCAGATACGCATTTAGTCACCTCCAACGATGCTTGGTGAAGTTGAATGAATGGTGTGTATCTCAGGGATTGGTCAATGCCCGGAGCATTGTTCTTATATTCTTCACTGCGACATAAAACATTATGAATCGTGTCAGGAAATGGGGATTAACTGTGCTGTGATTGCTTCTTCGTAATCTTCGTCGTCGACTCTCTTTTCTAGATGTAAGGGATCATCTTGATGTGATGTGAATGAACTACCTTAGTTCGTTATTAAGGAAAAGAAAGAAGCCTAACAGTAAAGGTGATTTTTGCCTTTGTAAAGTGATACTACGTTTTTTCCAATGACTACCATACTGTGCGCTTTGCTGTTTTGCCAGTTTATTGACGGTGTTTGAGAAATGAAACGTAAATTCAGTCAAGTGGTCGATTTATTTACCACAGAGAACATGACAGTTTCATATATACTTGAACATATACTAAAATTGGAACAATGCAGAGAAGATTAGCATGACCTCTCGACGATTTACCGCCTCATCGTGGTTGGGTGGTGTTCCTGGGTGTCAGGCTGCAATGTCCAGCTGGGGTTCATCCCCCAGCAGAATCTACCAGACTGAGGACAAGTTTGGCCTTTCCATCAGGAACCCCACCTAAGAGTAGACCAACACCAGGATCCACCACTGTCGTGGTGTAAAACTAGTCACGTGATAGCAAATCTCCCTGTGATCCACAAAGAAAACGACTGCCTGTGGTGGTGAAGGCCTGGCGCAGACTTTGGCCAGGCTGGCTTTGGGATTCCAAGGAACCACAATGGCTTAACCAGCAAAACTCCGAAAAATTCAACGTTATGCTGGAGCCCACATAATTATTGTGGACGGTCAATCCAAGTATCAAGTAAGAGAACACCACATTTTGTGTCACTAATCAGTTCCAAAATCTTTGTGTTTTAGTTCTTTCGATGTAGATGCAGTTACAAAAGGATATGATACTCGAACTGGGTGGGCTGCTGCAAATTATGGAAACAATGGCAAGTTGTTATACTTCTATAGTCATTTCCTACAGGGAATTACAGAATTAGAAGTGTAGAAGTCCTGCAACCAGTGAAGACGGGCGATCCAAATATCGAAGTAAGTCTTACGTGTTATAGGCAGTGTATTTCGAATGGTACTCCCTCCACCTAATGTAACTGGAAAGCTGCACCTTGGTCATGCACTTACGGTCACAATTGAGGACACTTTATGTCGACATCACAGGATAAAAGGAGGCGTAGTTAGTGAGCAAATTGTTCTGAATCAACTTACACCTTTAGTTTGTTCATTTTCCTTGGTCTCTTGTGACTTCGCTTTTTGTTAGGCGCAATGGATTCCTGGATTCGATCATGCCGGTATTGCAACGCAATCCGTGGTCGAAAGACATTTGTGGAAGGAAAAAGCGTTGCGTCGGGATTTGTTGAGCAGGGAGCAGGTCGTCGAACATTGTAAGCAATGGAGCGAAAGGTTGGTTATAAGAGATGTATTCTTAAATTTATAGCTGTTTCTGTCGTGTAGAATTGTGGAGAGCCATAAACTCAGAGAAAATCAGGGTTTAGTTCTAGGTATACTTTGTAAAACATTCTAGGTACATCTTACTGTTACTTTGTGAATGGAAAGATTTTTATAGTTTAGCCGTTAGTTATACTCTTTTGTGGTTTCCAAGTGTTTCGGTAAAGTGCATGAGATGAAGTGATGACGATGGTTTTCAGAAACTCTGCTGCTATCCGAAAACAACTTGAAGTACTTGGTGCTACGTTAGATTGGCAAAATTCTTACTATACCTTTGACAATGTGAGTTAATGTTTTGCCGTACAAAGTCCATCCAAGTTATTTTCTAATGATACTTTTGTATGAAGTCCACTTTTTGAGAGTTTCTCCTCTGCCGTCAGTTTGGCATTCGTCACTCTGCATCGGGATGGTTTTATTTATCGAGACAATCGACTAATAAACTGGTGCTGCCATTTACAAACATCTTTGTCAGACCAGGTGCATGTCTGATTTATGGTTATTTGTTTAGTTTCCCATTTTTAGGCTTTTTTTTCCAAAGTTATGAGTCTCTTAGGAAGTGAACCTTGTCGATGTTCCGTTCCCAACAAAAGTTGCAATTCCTGCTCCGCAAGGAGGAAAGCGTACGGTTGAAGTGGGAACTATGTATCGTATCAAATATCCTTTAAAGAGTTCAGATAGGTACTTTTTTTTAAAACTTTTGTCTATTTCACATTGAATTCTATTTGTTGTTGTTCTTAGGTTTATTGAAGTGGGCACAACTCGTCCAGAAACGATATTCGCAGATGTTGCGTTGGCCGTACATCCAGACGATGAGAGATATTCACAGTTTATTGGACAGTTGGTGGGTTTGGTGATTTCGGGAATGTCTGCGTCGTCTACGGAAAGATTCTAGAAAAAAGCCACATATGGGTTTTAACGGCGACAGATTGGATCTGTAATGATATTGTCTTGGAGTGTTATGAACTATGACGTAGTATAACAAACTTTTTCTTTCGTAGAAAGAAAGTCGTTCTTGTTTTGCCATTGTTGCTGCTTGGATACTTGGACAACCAGTCTCGGCGTCTTCCTGTGCTTGTTTGCTCTGTTGCAATGCCTCGTACAACTCGCAACACTTTCTCCAGTCGTGTTTTCGTTCACGATGACTGCCGTATTTGTGGTTGAACGTTTCAAATTTGGTGACTTGTATGAATACTATGTCTTCTTCAAATACTGGTTGTTGTCGGCAACAAAAATGTTGGCCCGTCTACTAAGTGTTCATTCTAATGGAGGCCTTCATACCCTTAAGACCTATTTTTTGTTCTTCCTGTTCATCTGTCGCTGATTCTTTCCATAACTTGATGGTCCTGTATGCTTTGATTTCGAAGTGTACTCTCCTAGGTTGGGATAGCTTTCAAGGGTCTCAACTACGCAGTACAGCTCGTACCTTCAAGGGCTGGCGGTATTGTTGAAAACGTTGTTAAACCTCTCTGCGTAAGTAATATGCAAAGTTTCTGATTTGGTTGTGGAATACCAGCCCTTGTTGTGTTACATAGCAGAGCACTGTGAAGACCAACGAGTTAGAAAGGTGAGCAATGAGCTTTATCTACGTCCGATGTTCAGTGACTCCTCTGAGAAGGCGAACTTGGCCCGTGCTGCCTTCGTGTGCAATTACTACCTCATTTCATTGTCAACAATGATGATATGCCCAAGCGACATTCAGGTCATGGTCGAACCACCAATTGTTCGAATTGGGGAGCACTATGAGTTTTTGATGAATATTAGTTTTCTTCTAATTTATGCTCAGTCAACTCATTTTTCTCCTCTGTTTAAACTGTTAAGAACCTGATAGTCCTTGAAAAGGCGACGGTGTCATCACCAAGGCGAATGTTTCGTAGGAATTTTTCGTCACTGCATCTTCATTTTTCATCGGATTTGAGCGACTTCACCATGCACAGCCGCGAACAACTTTTAGGAACTGGTTAATCGCTTTGTGGGGTCTTTTTTTCTATTTTTATAGTAAGGAGTCGTTGGTCGATTCTCTTCCTACGGAGTTAAGACCTCAGGAATTATCCTATAGGACGTCAATTGTATTTTTTACAAGACGTTTTTCGTTATCAAAAAGCTCTTATTCCTTTTTGGAGAATAGTTGGTATTTTTTTAAACTTTCGACTCTCTAAATTTGCTTTATAGTGAAGTTAAGGTTCGTCATCCATTGCTACCTGATCGTGAAATCCCTGTACTTGTGGATAAGATGGTTCAAAAGGAAAAAGGAACAGGTATGATTATTGTTCATTGTAAATCGTCCATACGTCGATCAATGCGAGATGGACCATACATTGGACTCCGTTCAAAGGATTGAATGTGTGCTTTTCCTATGGTTTACGATATCTTGCCGATATGTAAAGCCTTTTATCTTACTAGACAAAGTGTGGTACCAACTTGCCAACCAACCCCGACAGGGACTGAGGGTTTGTTTTGACGGGCGTATAAGATTATATCAACGACCATTATGAGATTATCATTATATGTTGTAGTGCCACTACTTGTGACATGTTATTTAATATGGAACAAAATGTCCCTCATTTGACCAACAGTTTAGGGGCTCTGAAAGTTACTCCATGCCACGACAAACTTGACTGGGAGATTGCCTCGCGTCATTGGGAGCAAATTCTTCGTCAAGATAGTAAAGCGAAAACGAGAAGTTGCATTGATGACCATGGAAGACTAAATCAACAAACGGGTGAATTCGTTGGCTTGGATCGTTTTGACGCAAGGATCAAAGTGAGGAGCTCAACATAATGGGGATCACTATTCATTCCATGTAGTGTTATTTTCTTTATAGGTCATTCAACGGTTGGACTCGCTTGGCCTTTTTTCTGGTACTTTGAAACACGAAGGGCAAATTAGTTTGTGTAGTAGAACAGGTAATTTTCTAATCCATCTATTCGGTAGAAAAGAAGGTTTCACAGCTCTGAAAGGAAAATAATTTAAACCAGTATGGCTTGATTGGAATGCATTTTCACTATACGGTCTAGTGGCTATAGTTGTTTATCTCCAAGTAAACTTGTTGAATGCTCTTTGTCTAGAACTTTAGTGTTTACAATGTAAAGACATGGTAAAAATTACTTTCAGATTGTCATTGCTCTTTAAAATTTGGTAAAACGGCTTTTGTAATCTGTAGCATATAGTCTGAATCTGAACATCTGAAGATCTGAAGCAAAGTCTGGAGAACATAATAAGTTGTGTGGATCTTTTATCTTAAACTAATGACTTTTATTTTGTTTAGGATGCTGTTTTCAAGTTAAAATTTTCGTAGTAGAGTTTGCTTTTAAGTCCTACCTACAAGTCAAGAATCATATTCCTGTAGAAAACTTTCTTTTCTATCCTCATATCGATAGTTTTCGTTGAGTAGCTACCGATTTTTTGTGAGTTGGGTTGACACCAAAGACATAGTTTCCATTTCCCATAACATTTTCATTGAGAAACCATTTTCTATGTGGGTAAAGGTGTAGTTATATAGTATATAACATAAAGGTATACAGGTACACACCTATAGCTCAATAACACGGATGAGAGAAAGGTTACACGAAAGACTCGCATGGTGTGGTGATGAGGTCGTTGACACCCGGAAAGGGTCATAGCGTGTTCGCTCCCTACCGCAGACACCAGCGGCTCGGAGTTTTACAAATATTTCAGCACCATTATGTTTATTAAGGTATAAATAAAAATATATAGTGTTTCGTAAACGGTGACTCAGTTTTCTTTGCTAGCGTTTCCAATCTGCTAAAATGTCCATATCGAGTGAATCGTTGTGAGAGAGGGTGAGAAAATTGCCGAAGGTCGATTAGGTGATCATGATTAATTCCTGTACGGTGCTGGACGTTCAGAGTGTGATTTCCGCAAACTATGGTGTTGCTAAGTTCAAAGCGTTTAAATCGTTAAAATACGGTGATGGGAGAATGGGCGACGTTTTTCTTGCTTGAGAAATGAAATCCTTCCTTAAATAGTTGATTGAGTAGAAAGAGTAGTGGAAATGTCACCTTCTGGACTTCTTTATAGGAAGCTTGGAAGGCATTTTGGAGGTCTTCAGGCAAGAATTAACCCATTCTTCCTTCATCGGTTTTCATAAATCGTTTGAAATGTCGCAAAATCCTTCATCTCATCCGTTTGGAAGGCTTATGTTTATCCAATTTTGTTGTAAATATTTATCCCTTTTGTCCTATGTAAGAACTTTGAAATGTTCCGTAAAATGATAGTCTTCTTGTTAGGTGATATTATTGAACCTCGTCTCGCTGAACAGTGGTTCTTGGACACCAGGGAGCTATACACCAACGCATTAGAGGCGATTAAAAGTAGAAGAGTATGTGACGTTTTGTGGAGTATTATTGATATGTATTTAGCTCCAATTATCGATTTGTGTTGTTGAAAATGATTTGTTCAGATCGAAATCTCTCCGGTAAGTCAAGAACAGAGACTGTTAGATTGGTTAACAAATAAAGATCCTTGGTGTCTAAGTAGACAACTTTTGTGGGGTCATCGTATTCCGGCTTTTCGAAGTGAAAAGTGGGTCTTTGTTCCATTTTATCTTCGATTATAGAGATTTATGGGATATTAAGGATGTTCATTCTTTAGTTCGCCATGGTTTGTCGCAAATTCAATGGATGACGCTCGTGAACATTTTGGTAAAGATGCTGTTATTGTACAAGACGATGATGTGCTTGATACATGGTTCAGGTATTGAACTTCGGTAATCTGAAGAAAAGAACGAAATCTACACCCTCCATTGAAGTTCTAAGTGGATATTTGGATTTTGTCTCATAACTGTTGACTGCTATATATGTGTGGGTGAATCTACACATTGCTTTGTGAATTAGGCTCTCTAATCGTGATTGCCACGGGCGCGTGTAGCACAGTGGTCGAAGGCGCCCGACAATACACTTTGGATCGATCCTCGAGGGCCGCAGGTTCACCAACCCAGCACTAGCTGGGTACATCGGTAGGCCACTGTGAGTCATTGTAAAGGCCTGGAATGCGTTCATTCATTTTCAACAGTTCTTAATGAAATCGAATCCATGGCGCATCCTTGAGGGTTTGGTCAACGCCGAGAGCTTTATCCTTTATCCTTTAGTCTTTCATTTTCATTATTATCCAACCGTTCCTATCACCTGTCTAGGAATGTCTCTAAACTCAAACTTCACTATGTCTATTCCATGAATCGTCTAGAATCCCACAAAGCTAAATGAATTGATACCACATCCGTTGTTAAGTCGGCGTACTTTTTTAATTTTTCCAGCTAACATGCGGAGCGAGGCTTCGTACCATGAAATTTAGCGATGGTCTGGAAAAAAGGCTCTGGTCATTGCTTAAGAAACAAATAACAAGTCGTGTATTTCTCGGGCTGCTCACTAATGTGGTGGTACGTTCTCATCTCTATGGGACGGAAACGGGATTTCAGCCAGATTTAGCCGTGATGTGGAGTAACCGAAGTGCTCTAGTTGGTAGTTGACTATAAATGAATAAGAAGATTATTACCCTTCAGCAGCATGTGTAACACTCATCTGAAGATGATATGAATGAGGAATTTGTTTTCCAAGATATGCTTACGTTTTTGTGGTTGACTTAAATCCACTGTGTTCGTATTTGGAAGTGGATCTTTGGATCACGAAGTGATACTCGTACATGTCAACTTACTCGAAATAGACGATCATAATGGATGACGATTGCGATGAAATGAATTTGCTGGAGCCCATGCGAGCTCTTGTCATCACGCTCCTTACCACAAACCAGTAGTTGGAGCTTATTTTTTATTCATCAAATGTCTTCTTAAATGTCATTTAGGATCTTTTTCCATCCTTGAATTCTTCCTTTTGGACGTTTCTGACGTGTGTAGGAAGAACATCTGTTTGAGTGAACAGCTCTGTGTTTATTGTTTTTTTTTCACACAGTCTCTTAAAGACTTTGAATTTTCTATGAAATTTTAAGTGTTTTTGATTCTGTTCTTCTTTAAAAGTGAAAGCTTATCGTACTTTTACCACAGGGATTTTTTAGTTCAGAAACTTACATCGTAAGCTGTCACAATAATGCTTTTTAAGCAACTGCATAGGTTCACGGGGACATGCGGTGAACATAGTCTTTGTTTGAAAATGACTAGACGATTTTAGAGCATAACCTTCGGAAGACTAAGTATTCTTTTTTTGAATTATTCCAGTTCATCCTTGATTCCATTGGTCGTGGCTGGGTGGCCAGGTCCGGAATTTAACCCATCAGCACCTCTTCTGGATGTGATGGAAACCGGATGGGATATATTAGGATTCTGGGTCGCAAGAATGATTGCAATGACTATGCGGTAGTTTTCATCTTGCATCGCTCCTGTAACGATCCGAGTTTTTATGTAACTTCCGGTTTTTATAGGCTATCCAATGGCCAAGTACCATTCTCTCGTGTTATATTACACGGTCTAATTCGTGATCCATCCGGAAAGAAAATGAGCAAGTCACTCGGAAATGTGATTGATCCGCTTGATGTGGTGTATGGCATTTCTCGAGAGAAAATGTTAGAACGTATAAAAAGCAGTTCTCTATCTGAAGATGAAATGGGTGAGGATCCTTTTTTTTCCTTCTTCTCCTTCTTTTTATAATTTAGTTCGTTGACGAGTAAGTCGTTATAGCCGACGCATTATCTTCTGTTTCTACTCGCTATCCGAACGGAATATCTCGTTATGGGACTGATGCGCTTCGTTTTGCATTATTACGACACAATTTCTTCTCTTCCGATATTTTGTTAGACGTAGTTGATCTTTCTGGTGAGGTTGGTTTCACACTTTTATACTTTATAACGTATTTATGTTGGCGTCCGCTTCATCCTGATAGCATATGAGACTCAGATGACTCAAACAGCGTATGAGATTTAGAATGAAGTTTGCAGTTTCATACTAGGTTTAACGATTTCAGGGTTATCGGTTTTGTAACAAGTTATGGAACATGATCGCTTATTTGGAATCTGTAAATGAGAAATTGTGTTCGTCAAGAGATGTGAACTCAGATCATCCAGCGGTTGGCGAGATCTTTATTTCTGAATTATGATTTGCTCACACTTTTACTAAACTTTTGCTATTTTAATTTCTAGGATGAGTGGATTCTTTCCCGACTTGCTGATACGCTGATCCAGATTGATAAGCATATGACTGAGCATACACCGCATCTTGCATTCGCCGTCCTGTACAGATTTATTTTGGGTTCCTTCTGTGACGTCTACATCGTAAGTTTTGTGTCATTTAAAAAAAAAAATCTATGTCGAAGTAGAAAACTGCACTGACAAACTCTGTGGTTATTTTTCTTCATAGTAATTTAGGAATCTTACAAGCTACCCTTGTTTAGCTGAGGCGAGTTGGTTTAGATGTTCTTACCTCGCGTCAGCTAAACAAGAGCAGTTTGGGAGAAAATATGTATAGATATGTCGATTATTATGCCGATGTTTGTAGAAAGTCGATCTTCTGGATTTAGGAATCTACAAAGCGAGCTGTTTGGGAGGCGGATCTTGTCAGGATGGCCCAGATTCGAACGACAATGAGTCGAGTTGTTCAACCGACATTAGTCCAACTTTCGGTTTTTATGCCATTCATAGCTGAATACTTGTACGAGCGTGCTTTCAATAGGGAACCGGGATCTATCTACTTTGATTTTGTAAAGGTTAATAACATTTGTCAATTAGTATTTTCTACATGGACAGTTTCATGGTTTAATAGAAGTTTTCAGTTTTTTTTTACTCGTGTTTTTATGTTAACTCTACACACTAACGAAAAAATGTTGCTTACGAGCCAAATTTAGCCATCATTCTTCAAATTTTACCGGAACACTGAGCTAGAATATGAAATGGACGTCCTCTTAGAAATAGTGAATGTTGTCCGATCAATACGACAACAACTTCAATTGTCTTCCGCAATGTTCTTCACTGGTTATGTTTCCTATTTCTCATTGTCGTGACATGAACTTCATTTTGGAACAGATTGTTTAGGAGCACTACATTCTGACCATATTTCTAATGAATTCTTCCGCCTCTCACCAATATTATCCGACCTCGTGAAGTTGGACCTATCAGACGTCACTCCTTTTGTTCACGACGTACTACCTGGTTTCATGACCTGTCCGGTACCCGGTCACAAGGCGCGGCTCTCACTCAAAATTCAGGTTTGGTTTGTATCGAAGGTTTGATTGCTTACAGATTTGCTCTCTTAAACAAGGTTTCATTGTAATTTCTACATCTTTGTTAGTAAAGAGCTGAAGAGCTTAAGCAGGTCTTTTTTTGGTACTTCTACTATCGAGTACTTTAACTGCTTCAGTTTCTTCCGTAGCAATCTACTGGTGTCGTTATAGGAATCCCAACACGCTGAGTTTATATCGCGTTTGGAACGACTTCTTCATAAATATGAAGACAGGCGGCAACAGTTTCTTGGAAAAGCAGAAAAATACGAATCTTTAGTGTACCGAAGCAGAGAGGAGGGCAACGTAAGCACTTTGTGGTATACTGTCCTGTACTCATTTTTCTTTCTAGGTCTAACCAGTACCTGTTGTGTTTGCAGTGTGTTTCTAGAAACTCCAACTTCTAGGTAAAACCTCATGTGATCGAAAAATACGAAAAGAAAGCCTGTCAGGCGCGTGGAGTAGCGAATGGTGCTGATGAGGAAGTGAAAAGACTCCAAAGCTTACTTGAACAGATGGCTTCCTGACCAATGCCTTTTGTAGCTGCATAACCTGTTCCAATTCGTATTATTTGTAGGGGATTTAGAACCCATGGGGTGTGCTGATTCCATTTCAACTGTCGTGTTATAGTCCTGTGGACTAACGATGGACTTTAATGTTGTAATGTTTTCCACTGATTCTTATTGTGTTTACCCATAATCGTTTGAATTGGAATTCAAAAGGGATGAATGGAAATGAAAACTATTGACTTGGTGCTAGAATAACTGAAGTCTTTGAATTGTTTAAACTTGACATTTGATATTGGAATATATTCTTAAACAAATGCCGTTGTGTTGTACATGAGTTGGATGCGCATTCTGTTTTATGTTCTTTCCTTATCAAGGTGTTACTACATACTCTTTGCTGAAGGCCATATTAGGTTGCTGATTAATTCAGGCCAATTTTAGAAACTTATAAACTCTATCGGTGTAGTTCGGTATTTGAAGCTATTTGGAAGGAAGAATGAGCTCATCGGTTAGGTATCCCTTGAGCTAATCGAAGGTTGAGAAAAGCGTCTTCTTAAAGTCTGCTCTTTATTTCTTCTCCGTAAGAAGAAGTATCCATTTGTTAATCGCGTTGTTGGCTGCGATCAGAAGAAGATTCTGTAGAACCGACAACGTTCAGCGCATTGGTAGAACACAGGTGAAACATTCAAGAACTTTCCGAAGTCAAATTTCTCCGTGGAGAACGTTGTGGTTGATGCTTCGTAGTCTATGTAGAATGTGCCCACCACAATATTTTGGGAACGTTCCTGGCAGATGGGTATTGTGTCGGCGATGAAATGCGAAATCAACCTCGATAACTGCCTTTAAGGAAAAATCTTTAGGAACGAAGTAGCTTTCAAAAATGACGGAAAAATTCTTCATTTCCAGGCCCTCCAGATTTTTGTGCTCCTCTGACAAGTATGCATGCTTCTTGTTGGCAAAAATGTGTAGGTTCTTATAGTTCGTATTTCAATTAGTGAAATTATGTCTGAGCCTACGTCTGGCGCAATGGTCGAAGGTGCCCTGCAATACACATGGGGTCGATTCCTGCGCCCATGGCCACCAAACCATGCATCTCTCCGGGATCAGGAAATTGGTACCAAACCTATCTAGGAGGACAGTAGCATTGACTCCATACATCGGTAGCTCACCGCATGTCACGCCAGACATGCATTCAATCATCTCTACGGTGGTACGAATGGAGTCGAATGCATGACGCATCTCTTAGGGAATGGTCAACGCCGAGAGCTTTATCCCTTTATCCTATTGCTAGGCTCCTTAACAGTCCTCTGTTATCTTTATCTTTTATCTCTTATTCTTTATCTTTATTTCTAAGCCTAGTTATAATGGATTAACTTTAACAATCGGAAACTGCAACAGCTTTCGCACTGAGCCGAAAATTTCGCACTTATCATTGCTGTTCGATACAGTGCGTTAGTGTCCTCACTTAAATTCTTCCCTTAGTTGATCAACTGTGGGTTGAAAATTTGCTTATTGATGGATCAGTAGCAAGTATTTATTCATAGTTTCTAAAACTTTATTTGTTATTTACTTTACAGGCAAAAGTTTTCTCCAGCAGTGGCTAGTTTGAGAACTTCGTGAACACTGTTTAGATCTATGTTCTTGTGATAGAGTCAATGTGTACGAAATTTTGAATAGTTTGTTAGGGTTGAATGGAGAATATCAGCAATTCCGAGTGGGTGGTGGTGATCGCCATGTTGATGCACCTTCTTATGGTGCCGTGGACGAAAGTCGAGGAGAGCTTCAACGTGCAGGCAACCCACGATCTCATCTACCACATTTACAACATATCTGCGGTAAGAATTTGTAGCACTGCATACTTTTTTCCCGATTTATGAATAGAATATGAATATAGGATAAAGATGGGAGGATATGTAGAAGTAGCTCCAACCCAGGAAAACACGACCCTGTTGCGGAAATTATCACAGGCTCGAGATAGAGTCGTTATAGGGTGTGCATAGAGACTGTATTGACTTTACTAGTAATTTCCTGTTCTTATGTTTTATGAGTACATATTCTATTGTTGGATTGGCAATTCTCTAAGCTACAACATATGATCCAAAATTAACCAAGTTTGACCAGTACTAAGTAGCCCAGAGTGGCCAACGAGAGTCATATGCGACTCATGTTCTTCCCGGTTGTTTGTTTCATCTGTTTCGTCCTCTGTGTTCGTAATATCTCTTGTGTTTGGACAGTAGCTCCCTACTATAGATGTTGAACCAGATGTAGTCCGAGAAAAACTGTTTTTCGATTGATTGATATGATGACGATAGTGATAGGATTTCTATCGCTACACAATCACAAATACATCGGCGCTAATTGCCTTTTATGCTGCTAGAGTACCACAAAACCTGTTGCCAATGTAGGAGGTATTTGATTATTTTTCAGATTTTTTCTAAGTAACGGGGGAAGGGCATAACGAACTGTGTGCATTGAGCGCAGTGTACAATGGAGGAAATGTCATTGTTACATAGTGCGAACACCGAAAATTGAAAATTGTTCCAAACATATTGAAATAACTCCTTGAGAACATGGTGGACCTCTTTTTCTCTCAATAGTAGAGACCATCTGCAACTCTACCTTTACCACTTATGTTCTTGGAGAAGGTTCTGTTCGCCGGAAAGTTAATTACATTGAAGGGGATACAAAAGAAGGATATTGTGTTCAAAATAGTGTTTTATTGAAGAGCTTAGTAGTCTAACTTTTGACTTGTTTTAACTGGTTCTAAATTTTCATTCTATGCTTCCAGTATGATCATCATGAATTCCCTGGTGTTGTTCCGAGAACTTTTGCCGGTCCAATATACCTCGCTGTGTTTGGTCTTCCTGTACGCTTTATCTTCTTCTTGATGGGTTACCCAAAGTACTGGATGTTATTTGTAGGTAAGAAGATGATTTTTTATTCGCGATTAATAATAGTGGCAAGAGCGCATATGGCGCAGTGGTCCGAGACAACCTATATTACACATGTGATCGATCCCCGTGTCCTAGGTCCACCATGCGTTCAACCCCTCCGAGGTTGGCAGATTGGCACTATACTTCTGGGAGGTTGGCAGCGATGGCTCAATACATCGGTAGGCCACCGCGAGTCATTGCAAAGGCCGAATATGCGTTCGGTCACCTCCAACAATGCTTAATAAAGTTAAATGTATGACGCACCCTCAGGGATACATCAGCACCTGGAGCTATATCCTTTATTTTGTAATATGGTGGTGGTATAAGCATCTCTGATTTGCGTGTAGTGGTTCTTAGATGTTTTTTGACTCTCCCATATTTCTTCTGGCGGAATTGGAATTTGTATTTTGCTTCGCAATCTAGCGCCAGTTTTCGTAGATTTGATTTTAGTTCGCTTTGTCCTTGGAATGACGACCGTAATTTCTTTTCTGAACTTCGCCAGGGCTGTAAGCAAGAACTTGGGACCTGAAACTGCTATGTTTTTGAGGTAATTGAGTTCAGCATCTTACATTTCCACTGAGCTTCGGCTAGATGATTGTGGGAGAAGTTGAAATCATCGGCTCGGAAATGCACACAGTGCAAGTTTTTCGATTCTTGGGGTGCCGCAGTCATAGATTCTGACCTATCGGTATTTCAGGATTATCGTTGCCTCGCAATTCCACATGCTTTTCTATGCATCACGTACACTTCCAAACACATTCGCTCTCATTTTGGGTCTGTAGATTTCAGTAGACCTCAGCATTTCACATGAAATACTTTCCACTATTTCAGTTCTCACCGTGTTCCAGAGGTGCATGGAAAATCGCTATGAAAGTGCTGTCCGATGGGCCACTACAGTTGTAGTGTTATTAAGGTAGGAGTATAAGTTAGTATTCTAACTTTAGGCCATAGGATTCATTTAGATGTGAGTTGGTGCTTCTGTTTGCTCCTCTCTTTGGGAGAGTAATTCTAACCGGGCGGCTGCCATTATTTGGTTGGGACGGAGCGCTAGTCATTGGTATTAAAACGGCTGTTAAAGTAGTTTGTAGGTTATTTGCCCGATTGAAGTTAATAGTTTGCTAAATAGTGCAACATATTGATTTTCCAGTTGTTACTGCTTCCGTCGACTCGCTTCTCTGGGGTAAACTTGTATATCCTGAATTGGAAGTTGTAAAGTTCAATATTCTTCATAACAGAAGTCATGAATATGGGGTGAGTTTTATATAAGTTACACATTATGGACTGAAGCTTCTCAGTTAAGGTTTCACCGTTCTTGTGGTACTTCTACTCGTGCCTCCCTCGTGGTTTAATGATGAGTCTTCCTTTGGTCGTACTCGGGCCGTTTATGGATCGGCGGCTAACAAACATTGTTCTTCCTGCATTCATATTTGTCTTTCTTTACAGTTTTTTACCTCACAAAGAGCTCAGGTGGGCTATATTTTTGTTATTTGGGTGGCATAGCACAGTAGTACTTTTTAATCGCTTTTAATGTTACCTTTGGATTTTTGCGAGGGATCAACCATTCGGTATTGTTTCAATCCAACATTTGTTCTAAGCGTGATATAGTTCTTGATATAAAGGTACTAACGGTGTTTCTGATTTGGAACATGGTAGGTATAACCTTACTTGTTTTAAGAATTCTAAATTAAATTTTTAAGATAAAAGAGGACTAGAACTAAACTTATTTAATTCTTGGTTAAGTAACTGCCACGACCGACTTTCTATTAACCTCGGCATTGACCAAGTGATTTTCTTGGTATTTTTGTTGAGCAAACGCGAGGTGTTATTATTCTTTGTTCACGATTAAGCTGACGTTTCGGCGGATTTCGCCTTCTTCAGAGCCTGGAAAGGTCAAGTTGATAGCAATCTACTCGGCCAGACGCCTCCATAACCAAACAAAGAAACCCCAAACCAAGATTTCAATCACTTTGAACACAGCTTTGCACACTCACCGCTTTCTATGAGGTTTCCACTAAGTATGTCACGTAGAGACCAACCGCACAGAAATCACGTGGAAGTATAATGTGCCCCTCACATCAAAAAAGCAGTTTTATATACTGCCCTATATCACGCGTGATAATGAGGCATTCTTCCTTGCGGTTCATTTTCGGATTTCTGGAATTAATCCAGAGTGCCTCGAGAGTTTTTCGCGCCTGTGTTCTTGATTCGCGTGCGAGGATCGTGACACATACTTCGAAGTCGTCCCCGTTATGTCCCTGGGTCCTATGCGTGCCTAGCGGGGTATTTGGTCAACTTTTGCCGGCTAGGTGTTCTTTCATGCGGACACAGAGGGGTTTACCCGTTTCGCCAATGTATTCGTCACCACACGTCTTACAGGAGATCAGATAAACTATACCCGAGCTCATGCAACCACCGTCTCTACCACTGGGGCAAATTATGCAATTTTGAGTTGCACATAGATGGTCATATAGGCGGTTGCGAACTAGATGGCGCTTAAGATTACTCGGTGGTATTTCAACTACGCTCACCGAATTCTCTAAGCCCGCCCTTCTTAAGCAGCGTTTTATAGCTGTATTTATATCATTTGAGATGAAGGGTAGGATAAACGGGACCCTTCTATCGCTAGAGTTGCCGTTTGGAGGCCTACGATTTTTCCTACACCTATTCTGAGCTACAGTTTCGTAGCCATAAGAAATGGCTATTTGCCGTGCTAAGTTCCGGGACTCCTCTCTCTGCTCTCTTCCCGTGCACACGTTGGTTGCCGTTCGAAACATGTTTCTTATAAGCGCCCTTTTCGTGTGAGAGGGGTGAGAGGAGAGGTAATGAACCAAGATGTTTTTACTACTTGGCTTTCGGTACCATTTTCTAATGTAGCCATTTTCTGATAGGTGAATTTGTACGTTTAAAAATGGAAGCCATTTTTCTTTCGGCTTTTCTCGGGTGAACTTGATGTACTCTGACTGTGCGTTCAACAATTCGAAGCATTTGTCTAATTCCTCTTGAGCTGCTCAATCTTCAGATGGTCTGGAAAGTACTACACTCAAATAAGAGGGTTGGCAATGGGACAACGACTGGCTCCAAGCCTTGCCATTGCATTTTTGTCTAAGGTGGAAGCACCGGTGACTGATCTCGGGCCACTACTCTACTGTAGGTATGTAGACGACTGCTTTGTCCTTTGCTCAACACAAGAGGAATTGGACAAATGCTTCGAATTGTTAAACGCACAGTCAGAGTATATCAAGTTCACCCGAGTAAAGCCGAAAAAAAAACGGCTTCTATTTTTGAACGTNAGTACTACACTCAAATAAGAGGGTTGGCAATGGGACAACGACTGGCTCCAAGCCTTGCCATTGCATTTTTGTCTAAGGTGGAAGCACCGGTGACTGATCTCGGGCCACTACTCTACTGTAGGTATGTAGACGACTGCTTTGTCCTTTGCTCAACACAAGAGGAATTGGACAAATGCTTCGAATTGTTAAACGCACAGTCAGAGTATATCAAGTTCACCCGAGTAAAGCCGAAAAAAAAACGGCTTCTATTTTTGAACGTACAAATTCACCTATCAGAAAATGGCTACATTAGAAAATGGTACCGAAAGCCAAGTAGTAAAAACATCTTGGTTCATTACCTCTCCTCTCACCCCTCTCACACGAAAAGGGCGCTTATAAGAAACATGTTTCGAACGGCAACCAACGTGTGCACGGGAAGAGAGCAGAGAGAGGAGTCCCGGAACTTAGCACGGCAAATAGCTCCAGATCCAGAAACATCTGGGTATTCGTAAGATGGGCTGGAATGTGTTTCAACAACTGGTTAAATATTAGCGTTAAGAACTACGGCTAAAAATTAAAATATTAAACTTAAAATTAAAATATTCCAGAAATCCGAAAATGAACCGTAGGGAAGAATGCCTCATTATCACGCGTGATATAGGGCAGTATATAAAACTGCTTTTTTGATGTGAGGGGCACATTATACTTCCACGTGATTTCTGTGCGGTTGGTCTCTACGTGACATACTTAGTGGAAACCTCATAGAAAGCGGTGAGTGTGCAAAGCTGTGTTCAAAGTGATTGAAATCTTGGTTTGGGGTTTCTTTGTTTGGTTATGGAGGCGTCTGGCCGAGTAGATTGCTATCAACTTGACCTTTCCAGGCTCTGAGGAAGGCGAAATCCGCCGAAACGTCAGCTTAATCGTGAACAAAGAATAATAACACCTCGCGTTTGCTCAACAAAAATACCAAGAAAATCTCTTGGTTAAGTGTTTATTCATGCTTATTTACTTGAATACTTGGATGGTCCGTCCTCACAAGTTGTGCCTGCCCCACCGAAATTTTCATTTTCCCGGAGGTTTGCTGGTTTAGCCATTGTAGTTCTCTGGAGTTTCTAGGTTAACCACGCCAAAGTCTGCCCCAGGTCGTGATCACCACAGGTAGTCGCCGACTTAATGGATCAGAGAGAGATTTGCCACCATGCGATTAGTTTAATACCAGAATGATGGTGTATCCTAGTATTGGTTTAGTCTTAGCTAGGTTTCCTGGTAGAAACACCGGACTCCCTCTCAACTTAGGAGACCCTGCTGAGCGGATGAACCACATGATGTACATCGCAGCCCAACATCTCCCAGCCTCGATGTGACCATTGGGAGGTTTAGTTTAGTTTGTTCATATATCTAGCTAGTAATTAGTTAATGGTTTTAGGTTCATTATCTATTCATTTCCGCTGTTCAATCTCTCCGCTGCTGTCTTCTGTTCAAGAATGTGAGTTTAGTGTATTTTCAAATGTTGTGTTCACCCATGCAGCACGTCCTAGCACGAAGTGGCCGAATTCGTTATTGTAGTGAATTTCACGTCAATTTGACATGAATGATAGAGAAACTACCGTTAAATTTATGTCTTTCCTAGGCACATCAATCGCCATAAGTCTATAATTCGTCGTATGCTCTATGTTGGTTGCTGCTTACATATCGTTGCTAATCTTATTTCTACTGCTGTATTTCTCTACGCGGGAGCCAGAAATTACCCGGGTGGTGATGCCATTGTACATCTCCAGGTGTCACCTATCTTTAGCGTGCTAGATTTAGTCTAAATCTGATCTTATTTCTTCTAGTGGACTCAACGGTTCGATGCTGGCAAACCAATATCTGTGTATATTGATAATGTGTGCGCTCAAACAGGAGTTAGTCGTTTCACGCAGCTTTATGATAGCTGGGAGTAAGTTAGCGGACATTACTCTTTCTCATGACTACTTGCTCGATTTTTTAAGAGAAACATATTTTGATAATTTATCGCAGCAATTGACTTGGAACGTCTCAATGGTTTACCGCCTCATCGTGGCTGGAAAGTGTTCCTGGGTGTCGGACTGCGATGTACAGCGGGGGGATTCGTTCCCCCGGCAGGATCTCCCAAACTGAGAAGGGTTCTGGCGTTTCCATCTATAAACCCGTCTAGGAGTAAACCAATACCAGGATCCAATACCGCCCTGGTATCGAACTAGTCGCATGTTCCTTCTGATCAACAAGAGCGGCGCCTGCTTGTGATTGTGCCTGGGCAGACTTTGGCCAGGCTGATTTCGGGACCCCAGGGAACCACAGAAACTAAACCAGCAAAACTCCGAAAAGTGGAAATTATGTTGAAGCCCACATAACCAATGGAGACGGCTCATCCAAGTGTTCAAGTAAGTAATTGACTTGGAAGTCGATGAACGATCGGGCGTTTCCTTATTAGTGTAATGTGATATGTAGAACCACACGAATTTAACTCTCTTCTCTATTTTGACTGTACTTCCATAAAAATAAGACCTTTTTATTCATCGTGGACGGTTTCTCTAAATTTATAATGAATGAACTAATAAAATTTATAAATTTATGAAATAATAAAAGAGCGCTTCTTCTATGCCTATGTCTTTTTCACAGGTATAACAAGACAGAGAGCTTGGCACCATCCGACATGGAACGGTTCGATTTTCTTCTGATTGGCACTTATTCGGGGAATCTGAAGCAGATCGTAGTCGCTAATTATTCAAATCACCGTCGGGTGATGTTTGCCGTATCGGGTTTTCATCGCTTTACTACCAAGTACGTCTTCTTTTAATTCCAATTTTTCCTCGAAATAACGGAACTGTTTCTCTTAGGGGATGTAATGCTAACAAAAGGCGATTTTACACTAGTAGTTAGTGTGCTACTATTTGTTAATTTTACCTCATTAGACTTGTTAATTCCACCAAACGGTTAACCCACGCATCGTACCTGGGTGGGATATTCATCCCCCAGCAGGGTTTCCCAAGCTGGGAAGGAGTTTCCATCAGGAAATCCAGCTAAGAGTAAACCAATACCGGATCCCCCACCGTCCTGATATCAACCCAGTCGCATGGTGGCAAATGTGCCTCTGATTCACAAAGGCGGCGACTGCCTGTAGTGGTAACGACCTCGGGCAGACTTTGCCTAGGCTGACTTCTGGACTCCAGGGAACCACAATGGCTAAACCAGCAAAATTCCTAAAAAATGAAATCTATGCTGGGGACCGGTGAAGATAGGTTATCGAAGTATACAAGTGGCCAAGTAAGACCTGCCAATTTTGAATCGACTTTATGCGAATAGTCTTTTGGCTGACTTCTACAAACTAATTAGTGTTAAAAACCCTGTAAAAGGACCTCTCTTCTTCGGAGTTTTGGATGTTTGGTAATGTTTACAATATGCATTCTTGCTTGATCAATTCAAATTTTATGAACTCGAAAGACCGACTTCCTATAAACCTCGGTATAGATAGTTGATATATTTATTTATGTGATCTTATAAACTGATCTTCTTAAGCTGAATTTTTGGTACAGATCTTCGTTGTAGTTGTCGTTGTTTTTGATGTTATTGATCGATGGCTGACGTTTCCGCTTCGCCTTCCTCAGGGTCTGGACGTATTTTATGTTAGAATACTTCTTATTATTCGGTGGAAAAGAAGGTTAAAGTACTAATGAAGATCAAACTCTCAAACAGACGCCATATTGAACAGAAAGGCCACTCACCGTGATGTTACGTGCGGGACTGGCCCACACGTAGTTCACGTGGAGTCGCGAGCAAGACACGCCCTGGGGTCAAAATATCATTTTATCATTTTGAAATAGGGCGCCAGGTCACGCGTGAAAGTGAGGCATTCGTCCTTCCGGTTCATCTTTGGATTTCTGAAATTTATCCAAAACGCCTCAAGAGTTTTGCGCATTGATGTTTTTGATTCCTGCTCTAGGATCCGCACATTCATTTCAAAATCATCGCCGTTGTGCTTTTGTGCCCTGTGCGTACCTAGAGGGGTGTTTAAACGGATTTTAGCTTTCCATCTAGATGTTCTTTTATGCGGACACAGAGTGGTCTACCCGTTTCCCCGATATATTCCTCGCCACATGCATTACATGAGATCAAGTATATTATACCTTCGGTGTGATATTAAGAGCAAGTTAAGGAAAAAGTTTGAAGATCTATCACGCCGCTCAAAAAAGTCAAATGAAAGAACCACCGCTGGTCAAGTCCCAAGTAAAAGCCCTGAAATAGACTGCGCACCAAGAACATCCAGAGTTATTGTGCTAGGAGGTATAACGCTTCCGGAAAATGTGCGTTCCTTGTTAGAATTGGGTCCGAGTTTTTCACCTAGTCAACCCATTTCTAAACAAATCCTGTGCAGGATCACGTTTAGTTTATATGAACTTCAAGATCAGCTACGTTACAGGGTTAGGCTAGAAAGGTTAGGTAAAGTAGTATCAAGGAGGAACTACCACCAATACCCTTTCCCCGAACTTTCTTTAAACAAGAGCTACCAAATAGCGATATTGACCCTACATTTCGTTTATTTTCGGACGAAATTCTCCGCATACTTAATCACTACCAAAAACGAAAAAGAAACTCCAACCTCACGAACCAACAAAAATGTGGTATGCGCCAGGTTAGAGAGCTCTTGAATTTAAAATCTGTTAGACTTCCTATTAGTGATAAAGGCGGAGAATTTGTAGTTCTTCCTAGTCAGTTGGATATTAGGATAACAGAGGAGCACCTCAGTGATGTTTCTCTCTATCGAACATCCTCTGAAAAGGAATACAGAAATCAATACCGAAAATTGAATCAAGAATGGGTCAGCACGGCAAAGGCCGCGGGTTTAGAGCCTTCAGTTATTTCTCGACTTAAGAACGAACACCCGATTTGCCCTGTCCTTTATTTGCTTATTAAAACACATAAGCTTACTTCAACTAATGATATTACGTCAACGAACCCATCATCATATAAAGTTAGACCTATCATCAGTTGTATAGGCGGGCCAACGGGTAGAATAACGTGGTTTCTAAACCTTATCCTAACCCAGCTGCTAAAATTCATCCCAACCCATCTACCTAACACCAAAATATTTCTGGATCACCTAAGGCACGCGCAACTAAAGCATATAATGGAGTCATTCGATGTTAGTTCACTTTATACCAACGTGTCCAATGACTCCGCAATGCAAGCCATTCTCGAGTTGCTCGTAGAGCATGAAAAGAAAATAAAAATGCACGGCTTGTCGATTGCGCAACTAATGACCCTCTTAAAACAGTGTCTTAGTTGTTCAATCTTTAGGTGGTTTGGAAAATATTTTGCACAAATTAGAGGGTTGGCGATGGGGCAGCGTTTAGCACCAAGCCTTGCCATCGCTTTCATGTCTAAGGTGGAAGCTCCAGTTCTCGATCACCGACCCTTACTCTACTGTCGATACATAGACGACTGCTTCATCGTCTGTTCCACACAAGAACAGATGGATGAGTGCTTTAAACCGACAGTCAGAGTATATAAAATTTACACGAGAAAAACCAACCGAGAACTGGCTTTCATTCTTAAACATTCAAATAAAGCTCTCAGAAAGTGACTCTGTAACAAAAGGTATGGTAAGCCAAGTAGTAAAAATATACTAGCTCACTATCTCTCCTCTCATCCCTCACACGTGAGGCAAGCACTTATCAAAAACATGTACCATACGGCTAAAAATGTGTGTACAGGAGAAGAGGAAAGGAAGGAATCGCAAAACCTGGCACGAAAAATTGCCATTTCCAATGACTACGAGGTAGAGGCCATTCGGGTTAGAGGAAAACGTTGGGTAGTTTCCCAAAATAATATTTCAGGCGACAGTAGGATCCCCTTTAAGCTGCCCTTCATATCAAATGAAGTAAGTCACGCCATTAAAAAGTGCTTAAGAAAAAGTGGTTTTGAAAATTATGTAACGATTATTGACATCCCACCCAATACCCTACGCCACCAGTTAGTTCGAAACCGTCTCTATGATCGTTTGTGCAGCTCAGAAAACTGTATGGTCTGTCCTAACGGGAGAGACGGGGATTGCATGAGTCCAGGTATAATATACTTGATCTCATGTAAAGCATGCGGCGAGGAATATATCGGGGAAACTGGTAGACCACTTTGTGTCCGCATAAAAGAACATCTAGATGGAAAAGCTAAAATCCGTTTAAACACCCCTCTAGGTACGCATAGGGCACAAAAGCACAACGACGATAATTTTGAAGTGAATGTGCGGATCCTAGCGAAGGAATCAAAAACATCAACGTGCAAAACTCTTGAGGCGTTTTGGATAAATTTCAAAAATCCAAAGATGAATTGGAAGGANTAGGATCCCCTTTAAGCTGCCCTTCATATCAAATGAAGTAAGTCACGCCATTAAAAAGTGCTTAAGAAAAAGTGGTTTTGAAAATTATGTAACGATTATTGACATCCCACCCAATACCCTACGCCACCAGTTAGTTCGAAACCGTCTCTATGATCGTTTGTGCAGCTCAGAAAACTGTATGGTCTGTCCTAACGGGAGAGACGGGGATTGCATGAGTCCAGGTATAATATACTTGATCTCATGTAAAGCATGCGGCGAGGAATATATCGGGGAAACTGGTAGACCACTTTGTGTCCGCATAAAAGAACATCTAGATGGAAAAGCTAAAATCCGTTTAAACACCCCTCTAGGTACGCATAGGGCACAAAAGCACAACGACGATAATTTTGAAGTGAATGTGCGGATCCTAGCGAAGGAATCAAAAACATCAACGTGCAAAACTCTTGAGGCGTTTTGGATAAATTTCAAAAATCCAAAGATGAATTGGAAGGACGAATGCCTCACTATCACGCGTGACTTGGCGCCCTATTTCGAAATGATATTTTGACCCCGGGGCGTGTCTTGCTCGCGACTCCACGTGAACTACGTGTGGGCCAGTCCCGCACGTAACATCACGGTGAGTGGCCTTTCTGTTCAATATGGCGTCTATTTGAAAGCTTGATCCTCATTAACACTTTAACCTTCTGTTCCACCGAATAATAAAAAGTATTCTAACATAAAATACGTCCAAGCTCTGAGGAAGGGTCGCCGAAACGTCAGCCATCGATCAATAACATCAGAAACAACGACAACTACAACGAAAATCTGTACCAACCTCGCGTCAGCTTAAGAAGATCAGTTTATAAGATCACAGAAATAAATATATCAAATTTTATGATTAAATAGATTCGTCTTTAACGGCTTTTTTTTCACTGGCGCCGAAAGCCGTCTGTAAACTTTTTTTTGAAGATGTTTTTGATGTATTTTTCACTCTCTAACATGTACAGGAAGATGTCATCATTTCCGTTCTACTTTCCCGAGATGGTGTTGAAGGAAAAGGTCGCTGTTTTAAGGAAGAAGTGACTCTTACTATCTTTCGCTTGTTATTTTTTCATGCTGTTATAGGTAAAAGAGTGAAGTACAAACTAATGTTTATTGCGTTGTAAAACCTCCATAGAGAAGAAAACGTGTCCATCGATACACAGAAATGTTGTGCACATTTTTAGGGCGATGTGCAGTCTCCGACGATATCATGGAGAATGTTTTGTGCAAGCGCGCGTGTAACGCAGTGGCCGTAGGTGCCCTGCAATACACATGGGATCATTCCCTGAGCGCACTGACTTGATACATTGGTAGGCCACCGCGAGTCATTATTAAGGGCAGATATGCGTTGAATCACTTCCAATGATGCTTAATAATGTCAAATGTAAGGGGAATCCCTCAGGGATTGTTCAACACCGAGAGCTTTTTTATTCTCTGCAAGATATACCAAGTCTTTCGATTCTCAAGTAGCTTAGTTGTAGAGAAATTTCCGACGACTATCGGAAGGCTTCGAAGTCAATTTGTTCACAAAAGAATCAAATGCGAAAAATGCTGTAATGCTTAGAATGTAGATAACTGATGCATTTTTTTTAAAGTTTGAACAAATATCATTACGAATGTGTTTGCAGTTTTTATGAATTCTGGCAGAACAGTTTTTTTAACACGTCAACGACAACGTGGGGACATGATGAGTGACCGTGCATCGAGTTCGATGCATTAGGAATCGGTTGATGGTTAGATGTCGTTCTCAGGTGCAGACAGCGAAAATTAGGCCTCATGAATGTCCTAGGTTGATGCGAGCTTTAAACTTTCTTGTTCTGTTGTGTTACTGAAAATTTCAGTACCAGCTAGATTTATTCCTCAATTTTCATTATATCGTGTGCATACAAATTAGTGATGCAACCTGTATTCGTAGTTTGAGAAATTCAGATTAGAAAAGTTGCGGACCCCGAAAATCTTTCAAAGTAAGCCACTATTTGAGATCTTTGACTCCTCAAAATGCTTGAATTTGGACATTTCTTAGAACGCTTTGGGCATTGTGTTGTTGCTTCATGTGTTATTGCTAAGGTATTGGAAGGGTTTTTAGTTCTCTATCAAAAGGTAGAGTGTTCTTACCATTTATCAAGGGGAAGTTGCGTTTCAAAGTTTCGAATGGAAGCGTCAGATCCTTACGTAAGGTTATCAGCATAGTTCTCGACTACAATGCCAAGATGACATTGGGATAGCTAGAATATCTCAGCTCCTTTCAGTTCTAATATATTTTCTTGTCAGTCACAAGCTAAACCGTTCTCACAAAATCTAGACGGTTGAATATCATTCCGCAATAACAGGCTGGTTCGACTTCCTCGTGATACCTATCAAAATGTAAGATACTTGGACAATGGAAGACTAAATTATAGTATTTCAAAAACCGACTTTCATTTTCGGTATAACTAATCAACATGTATTTTTTCAATGATAACCTAA